TTCTCATACGATGGTTATGGCTGGAACAAATTTAATTATAACTTTTGGTGAGAATACGCATCATTAAAATTAAGAATTGTTAATTTATAATAGCTTATAATAAATATTTTATTTTTTTTATTAGGTCAGCATGTAAGTGAAATCTTTATATTTTTTTGAAAATTTCATTTTTATTAATGCTCTTGAATACTTTTTTAGGCGGATCAATCGAAAGATGGTTATCCAAACAATACTTTAGTACTCGACACCACAACATATACATGGCAAACAACATACACACCTAACAAGCTAGAACTCACCACACCTCCAATACCTGAAATCACATATGATACAAGCACCACGAACGGAAATAGCACTTCCTCAAGTTCGCCGTCAGCATCTTCAGATACAGATAGTGGCAGCAGTAAAGTAGCATTAATTGTAGGAGTAGTAGTTGGCATATTAGGTGTCATTATGTTTGGTATTGGACTTTTCTTCTTTATAAAATGGAAAAAACAACAGAGCCGTCCTGTTATGGTTGGTTCTACTTCTCCGAATGATCCAATGCAAACGTCGCATACTCCGACAAGAATGGAGGAAATGGAAGGACAAACACCGTCTCAGTATTTGGATTGGGCTTCGGCGAATGTGCCTGTTGCTGCTGAGGAGCGTTAAATTGTTATTACAATCAGACCTCCATATTATAAAAGAACAACCTCTTACAAAGAACATTTTTCCATAGAATACTGTACTTTTACTTCTATAATATATAATATGTAATAGATAATAGATAATAATTAATAGATAATATATAATATATATAATACGTATATATAAAATAACGATAATAATATTACACTTCTATAACGATAATAATTTGATTGTCCCGATTGTGTTGTTCGAATGTATAAAACCACCCCATAACAGTCTTTAACATATTAGTTGAATTTATCATTTTCATATACTGTACACCCTACAATATATTACCGGAAATTTCAAAAATGAATTTGTCACTTTGGAACCCGATATCTCGACATCCAGTGATCCCATTCGAACAACTGGATGTCGAGATATCGGGTTCCAAAGTGACAAATTCATTTTTGAAATTTCCGGTAATATACTGTAGGGGTGTGTAAACTACCCTCGATTCAATATACCACTTTTCCATACAATGTACCCCGGGAGGGTGTAAATCAAGTTACAAGAGGGTAAGTTGTAACATGCCCGGGGTAGTTTATGTGACAAATTACGGTACTTCAAAACATAGTTCTGTTAACTTGCAAATTATTCGACTAAAATATCACGAGAAACATACTTTTAATGAAAAATTTGCAAGTTACAGATTAAATTCTTCATTGAAACTGGCATAGTACGTAATTTAATGTTCTTACAGTGCCCCTCTATTTCGACATGAATCATGTGTAACGCCAAGAAATTTTCCGAGCATGACATCTACGTATGTCTTTTATAAATTGTCAGGGCTATATCGGATATTGTGTTTTCGCGCTCCAAATGCGTAATAACTTGACGTCCTAAAGTGACAGATTCATTTTTGTTGATCAATTTTAGGATATAATATATCGAGTTATTTTTCATCTTGATTGTATCTATACCCTGCCTGACTTGAATTAAACATTAGAATCATAAGACCTTGTCTTTTTTAACCATATCGATATGGTTAATTAAAAAAAAATAGTATCAACGATGATCACAAAAATAAAGAAAATAATATGCAAAAAGTCACTTTAATTTAAGGAATTATTGTTCATTGCTCATTTCTGAAGTTCGGTCTTTTTAATCGCAATTGAAGTTAAACTTGATAAATATTTGTGTCGGGTGGGAAAACGTTACTTTTATTTCAGAATTTGTATCGAAATGCAAAAATCATTAATTCTAAATTAAATTATTTAACATAAAGTCTCGAATAAAATATGCAATTATATGAAGTCAAAATGCAATTTAATTTTAGCAATAAAATTGAGTCAGTAAGATTCGATAAGCATCACGAGAATTTGTGTTGTTAGTATTAGATTTAAGATTGTAACTAGCATAAAACTTTTTTGATAAATTTGTTTTAAGACAAATATTTTTTGAATTTGCTGACACTCACAAATAATTTACTTTCTTTAATATCGTAATCCTTTTGATTAAAAATTGTATTTTTTATATTTTTTAAAAGTTATAATAAAAGACTTTATATATTTATCGCATTCAAACTAGACTTTATATATTTATCGCATTCAAACTAGACTTTATATATTTATCGCATTCAAACTAGACTTTATATATTTATCGCATTCAAACTAGATTTTTGAAGTTAATTGCTGGATCCGTTAGATTTGTATCAGTATTTTAATTTTGGCACAGTATTTTTAATTCAGAATTTTATGTAGACCCAATTGTAATTGAATTTTAATAGCTTCGAATGTAAAACCTTTTTCTTTAACAAAAAAATCGAAAGTTACAGATATAATATACAGTCAGACCCCGTTGTTATCAACACCGTTAATATCAACACTCCCCGTTGTTAGCAACATTTGGTCGCAGAACAGATTTCAAATTATAATAAATTATATATCGACTTAAACCCCCGTAATTATCCACCCTCGTCGCTATATAAGGGGATCGTTATATAGAGCTTCACCAACACTGAAATGACCATAAAATTAACTAACAAATTATCCTATCCTTTAACTTATTAGCTGACTTATTTTCATCTAACTAATCAGTCTCAGTGTTGTCATTTGGCTATCCTTGCAATAGCGAAAAAAATGGTTGGATCACGTGCTGCTAGTGGCACAAACCAATAAAAATGCGTAGATTTTGATCAGCTCGGCAAAACAAATCCGACACAGGAAATGAAAAAAAGGGAAACAGATGCTTAAATCTAGCTTGGTACACTAAAAAAATGTCGGGAAGACAATTTCACATATAATATTAGCTCCAGTTCTAGCCCTAACCATCCTATTACTGTAGAATTTTTCCGGACATAACACTATTCGATTAATCTTTTTCCCGCCTCAATCAAACGGAGTTAATCCTATTGATCAGTGTTACGGAATACGTACATGACAATCAATTCTTTCATACACAAGAAAATTGCTCATTATAAAAAAGCTCTTTTATAGTAGATGGTGACTACTACCTGTTCTCTTGAGAACACTGATTATTAGAAGCATATTATTGTTCTCACAAGAACAATATCTGACTGTGAAATTTCTAACACTGGATTTCACATCTATATTTTGTTTGACACTTCTTTTTCGAGCTATGGTGCAGGTTATCTATAGATAACAATAAATTATATCGATATTTTTAAAGTGGTTTATCTTCTTAATCAGAACGGAAATGCAAAATTTACGTAATTCCATCATTATAGCAACGGTAAATGTACTTATTGTCTGTTACTATGGTGCATAAAATTTAAAGTCATCAAACGTTTGTATTTAATAAAATGGATAACTTCTTTACTAAGAAGTAAATACAAAATTCAATCCGTGAATATGATAGAATAGGTCCTTTCTGAGCATATTCACGGATTAAATTTTGAATTTACTTCTTAGTAAAGAAGTTTATACAGTTTATAAAATTCAAGCGTTTGATGATTTTAGATTTTATGCACCATACATGTACGTAATTAAGTTAAACCATCAGTTTATACATGTATTGGTTAAACAAAAATATTTTTAGATAACAATACAGTAAATAAGAAAATTGTTACAAATAACAGCGGTGACAAAAATTATACATCTCAAATTACACAACATAACGATAATTACAGTACGTAAATACACTTAACGTTAATAACTATGGGATTTTCTTATAAACCTAATTTGTTGCATAGGGTTATTTTTAGAGCCTTTGCTTGATACGTATTTAGTCGTTTTCTTTTTGCAAAATGAATATCATTAAGCCAGAAATGCAAAATAATTTCTTATATTTCAAGCTTTATATTAATCGAGTTGTAAGATGCTAGAGAAAACATTATTAATAAATAATATTTTTTATTTTTAGACATGACATGTTAATTGAATGCCGTAATATAAACCGCCAAGACATTGTATAACCTTCGGTAAAATTTTTGTATTTCAAAGGGTTGGATTAAGATGTGGTAATTTGCTTTGATTTTTGCATACAAACGTACAAGAATCGTATTTAGACTTGTATTATCGTTACGTTTCACCTATTTATATATTAAGATTTGTGTTATGTTACAACGATATAATAAACTAGCGCGAGGTACAAATCGACATTTGAACAAAGAATTTATCTTATTATCGTTATAGTTAACTTTCAATTGATCAATTGCCGTTGTACGTAACGAAAATCTAGGAAATGAACCAAAAAATTTTGTTACTGTTAAGCATTTTTTTGTGTTTAATTTTTTTGCTATGAAGTTTATAATTAGCAGCGATGTCTCACAAACTGTTACTTTAAATATCGATATTAATAATGTTCGTGATTGTTTTGAGTTTGGTCAAAAACATTTGAATTTCAAATACCATCGCAATTATATATTTGAATATCGAAATGAGAGCGTTCATCTTTCCGACGCTCAATATTTATTTAATACTAGTATGTTGCATTGTTAAAGGAGAAATCCCCGCTTCGAGACAGTAAGTAATGAATTTTATTAAATTGAATATAGTAAATGCTAATTAATTAACCACGATTTTTAATAGAAATCTAGCTGGAACAATAATTGACAGCAAGTACGTAAGCACTTTGAAGATCAAATTTAAGGATAGATTCTAACTGATTACGATTACTTTAATTTAGATTACATGTGTTTGGTGGACGACGAATATCAAACCCAGCTGCAGATGCAACAGCAGACGTGAACGAACTTTGGATACTAGACTTGACACGATCTTTTGATGTTTCCTCGCCACCATGG